TCTAAGGAAGTCTATAAAGCTTTTATATATTTCTGTATAACATTTTAGCTATCTTCTTTAAAGTTGTGCCTTCTTCTATAGCTATATAAAGAATATAGTAGTATTCTTTACTTAGCTAATTAATAACTACTAGAATAACATTATAGTCTTCTAATATTAGTAATCTTTTATAACGAAATCTATTAAGATATCCTGTTAGAGGCACTTAGGAATCAGAAGAGGTTATAATAAGCCTGCAGAAAGCTAATACATAAGTTTGGTCTTCTTACAGATATAATAATTCTGTAAGAATTTCCTAACTAATATATATTTATTTAAGATATAGTATTTATTATTTGTAATAGCCTTTCTTGTCTTTGTATAGCCTGAGTATCTAGTCTCTTTACTTTTATAAATCTCTTAAATTATATTTATTATTATTGCTACTAGTATTACTAGTTTTTCTTTATATTATAGTACTTCTTCTTTGTCTTTATAATTTTAAATATTATATCTAAATATTTTCTTCTTTAGGTTCTTTATTCATTTTTCTATCCTAATTATGTTAAACATCTTATTAACCTGATTCTTTTTCTTTATCCTCTTCTAAAGCAGCAAATCTTCCTCCTCTAATAACGCCTGTATTATCAAGATCTTTAGGTTATCTTTTACCTCTTTAGACAGTATGTCTAATTATAGAAGGGTCTAATACAGATTAGGATCCTCCTTTACTCTTAGGATCTTAGTTTCCCTTTGAGTTAATATATTAGCTTTTCTGTTAGCAGCTCTTAAGTGATATCTAATCTTGAAGTTATATTAAGATAACAACTCTGCCTAATATGCTTACTAACGTGTTAGCTTCTTTATTAATATAAAATACTCTAGAGCCTTATAATTTGTGAGTATTTAGATAGGATCCTTTTCTAATAAGTATAGCTTTAATAACTATTCCTTAAAATAATAAATAATAGCTAGTAGTTCCTTATTATAAATCGTGTAATTACGTTTTGCTAGTGCTATACTTATTAAGAAGAATACTATAAGATAGAGTTCTTTATTCTTCCTTTATTATAAGAGCACTTTACTAACTATATAATTACTTATATTATACTTTATAATTATCTTCTTCTTAAGATTAAAATAAGTAAGAACTAGCTCCTTTGAAATAAGGTCCTTTAGGGCCTGAAACGCCTTAGTATAGCGGTTATCTTAGGTGCGCCTTATATTCTTCTTTAATAGGTTATTTAGTAGCCTTACTACCTTATTAAATCCTAAGCAGAATTATTAATAGAAGTTAATAAACCCTAGGAATCTCTATATTACACAGACATCTCCTAGGTTAGGTTTCTCTTACTCCTGAATAACTTGTATACACTTTAGATCTATCTAAATGCCTTTTAGAATTATAATTAATCTAAGATACTTTATTAAAAGTGTTCGCACTATACAGCGAAGGGTGTTCCATGTGACAGGAACTATTCAGAGGATGTGTTTCAGAAGCTTGAATCCGAGAAGCAAAAGCTGCAACAGGCTCTTCGGGCTCTTCATGCGCATCAATGCCAGGACGCTCAAGAGGCTGAGAGTCTTGAGTGTTCGCACTGTACAGCGAAGGGTGTTCCTTGTGACGGAAACTATTCGGAGGATGCGTTCCAGAAGTTAGAGTCAGAGCGGACTCGTCTGGAGGCTGCTCGTTCTCGCGCCATTGCGGAGGTGTCGCGCTCCATTGCTGAAGCGGCGAGTTTGGATCGGCGCATCGCGATGATCGCTCGGGAGGCTCGTTCCTTGGAGCAGGAAGAGCTCGCTCAAGAGTCGCAATCCAATGTTGTCGGGGTCGACACCCTCGACGAGCAGGAGTTGGCTGCTCTGATGTCTTTTTCGCCTGGTCCGGGTTCCGGCGGCGGTAATTCGCAAGTGTCTCAGGGCTGAGGTTTGTTTCTGGTTCCCATGTATTTTCTGAGTCTGTGTATCCTGACCATTTGATCAGATAATAGGGTTTTCCATCGATGTCTTGTTTGTCCAAGACTTTTTCCACCTCGTACTCTTGGTCCTGAGTTTCATCGTCTAGTTGGATTTCCGTGGGTCTTGCGTGTTCCTTGGTGCTGGTTCCAACAATGAGATGTGGAATACCGGGTGTATCCTCATCTTCGCGGGTAGTTGCAGTTCGTACTTTGCCTTTCCTAACACTTTCTTGATCGGATATGGTCCTAATTTTGTGTAGTCCAATTTCGAACTTGGTCGTTTAGTCTTGATGTTTTTTCTCAAAAGGTAGACTGCGTCCCCCTCTTTAAAGGTTGGTCCTCCCATCCTTTTAGAGTTGTGGTATATCGCAGAACGTGTTGCGATAAATTCAATGTCTCTTGACAATTCTTGATGTAATTCTTTCATCATTTCCACTGTCATGGATGCTTTTTGCGCTATTTCGTGAACATTTCTTGCTGGTCTCGTTCCAACTGGTTCGTATCCATAATTCGCATAGAATGGTGACATTCCTGTTGCTGCTGTGCTGCTATTATAAGCAAATTGAGCTAACGGTAACAACGTAACCCAATTATTTTGTCTGTAGTTGACGTAGCAACGTAAGTACTGTTCCAGTGTTTGGTTGATCCTTTCTGTCTGACCATCAGTCTGTGGATGATATGCTGTTGACAGTTTGTGTTTTGTTCCAATTTGATCCATTAGTGATTTCCAGAATTTCGACGTAAATAGTTTATCTCTGTCGGAGATTATCTCGGATGGCATCCCATGGTTTGCATAAACGTATTGCAAAAATGTGTGAGCCATATCTTCAGCTGTCGAAGATTCAAGGTATGGTATGAAGTAAGCATATTTCGTAAGTCTATCAGTCGAAGATTCAAGGTATGGTATGAAGTAAGCATATTTCGTAAGTCTATCAGTGATGACTAGAATGCTGTCGTACTTCACCTTTGTTGTTTGGTCCTGCGATGGTGGTAGCTTCGTAATGAAGTCCATTGCTATCGCTTCCCAGGCTCCCTCTGGTGCCCTTGGTGACTGCATCTCCCTATATGGTTTATATCTTGACTGCTTTGTTTTCTAATATGTGTCGCACTTGTTTATCTATTCTCGGACGGATTTGTTCATTTGTGGGAAGTAGTACAATCTTGAAATCCGTTCAAGTGTCTTGTCAATCCCTTGATGTCCGGCTGGCATTTCTTCGTGATACCGACGAAGTATCGTATCCTTTGCAGAGTTGGCCACATACACTAGTCCTTTGTACAAGATCAGCCCGCTGTCTTGTATTTCGAACGCTGGGTAGTTTTCGGGTTTCTTTTTGATTTCCCTCGCCAATCTGTCCTTTTGGTACGCCCTGATGAGCTGTCTCTCTTGATCTTGATCAGAGATCGTGAAAGTAGCTGCAAGCACTGAATCGTTATATCTCATCGATCCGTCTGGGTTCAATCGCAGTATTGATCCAGGTGGTGCTTTGGTATCCTTGGAGTGGTCTACGCGTCTGCTGAGCGCGTCTGCTTTTGCATTGTCATTCCCTTTCCTGTAAGAGATCTCAAAGTTATATCTTGACAATGTTTCTGACCATCTGACCTGTCTCCTGTTGAGTTCCTTGGTCGTAGTGAAGTAGAGTAGATTCTTGTGATCTGTGTATACCTTCACTGGGTACTTGGATCCTTCCAAATACACACGCCATTCGTCGAATGCTGTTACGATGGCTAAGAGTTCCTTGTCATGGATCTCGTAGTTGAGTTCCGCTGGAATCATCTTTCTCGAGTAGAAGGCAACTGGCCTTAGTCGTCCTTCGTCGTCTGGTTGACTTATGCACATTCCTATGGCATAGTCTGATGCATCTGTTTCCAGGACTATTTGCCTCTCTGGGTCAAATGTCGCAAGTATGGGAGCGGACGTGAATCGTCTCTTCAGCTCCTGGAATGAAGACTCTGCTTCTATTCCCCAATGGAAGGGTTGATCTTTCTTGGTCATCGAAGTCAGTGGCGCTGTGATCTTCGAGTACCCTTCAATGAACCTCCTGTAGAAGTTCGCGAATCCGAGGAAAGATTGTATTTCCTTAACATTCTTTGGTTGAGGCCAGTCTTGTACTGCCTTAACCTTGGATTCGTCCATCTGGATTCCACTCGTGGTTAGGATGTAACCTAGGAACTTCACTTTCTTCTTGTGAAATTCACACTTCTCTAGTTTGACTAGGAGATGTGCCTTCTTTAGAGCACGAAGCACTTGCTTCACATGGCTCTTGTGTTCCTCTTCTGTTTTCGAGTAGATAAGGATATCGTCGAGGTATGCCACGGCAAAGATGTCTAAGAATTCTCTCAGGACATCGTTAACCAAGGCTTGGAATGTTGCGGGTGCATTTGTCAACCCGAATGGCATAACGAGATATTCGTAGTGGCCATACCGTGTACGAAACGCGGTCTTCCATTCCTCTCCTTCCTTCATTCTGACCAGATTGTATGCTCCCCGTAGGTCGAGCGTTGTGAACCATTCTGCTCCGCGAATCCTGTCGTGGAGTTCTGAGATAAGTGGTAACGCGTATACCGATTCTTTATCGTGATTGCGTTTAGCTGTCTGTAGTCCACACATAACCTCAACTTTCCGTTAGGTTTTGGTGCAAACAGTATCGGATAACCGGCTGGAGATGTCGAAGGTCTGATGAACCCTTTCTATTAGGTTTTCATCTAGGTACTCCTTTGTTTCCTTCAATTCTCTTTCCGAAAGTCGGTGTCCACACATAACCTCAACTTTCCGTTAGGTTTTGGTGCAAACAGTATCGGGTAACCGGCTGGAGATGTTGAAGGTCTGATGAATCCTTTTTTGAGGTTTTCATCTAGGTATTCTCTGGTTTCCTTCAAAATTCTCTTTCCGAAAGTCGGTATATCGGTTTGAACACTGGTTTGGTTCCAGGTTCCAAAGGTATCTCATGGTCCCAAGGTTGATGTTTAGGCAAGGCTGTACTTTCCTTGTCTTCCTCAAACAACTCCTTGAATTCCTCGTATTCTGGTGGGCAGTTATCGAGACTGTCCAAAGCTTCCGAGGTCATAGGTCGTATCCATACGGCCTTGGTGAAGTGTGCCTGTGTGTCAGGTATCCCACACTCACAATCGTGGAACGTCAGCGTATGTGACTTCCAATTGATCACTGGGTTGTGATATGTCAACCAGGGTTTTCCTAGTATGACGTCGTGTTTGATCTGAGTGACATCCATCACTATTTCTTCGTGATGATCCTCGATCTGCAATCTCAATGGTTGCGTTTCCGTGGTGATCTGACCTTGTCCTTCTTTGACAGGTGATCCATCAGCTAGCCTTAGCTGGTAAGGGTTCTCTTTGTCCCTAGTAGGAGTTTGATTCCGAAGTACATACTCTCGTGAGATGTAGTTCCCTGTGGCTCCTGAATCCACCATGATCTTTGCCTTCTTGTCGTTCAGAAGTGCGTGTAATATCATGTGTCGCGAGTAACGTGCGTCTAGCATCGCGATTGTTTGTGACCTTTTTTCGCGTCCTTTAGGTCGTCTTTTCAAAGGACTTCCTAGTTTTTTGACTCTTTTGGTGCCTTATGGGTATGCATTCCCGTGATCTGGCATCCAAGTGTCTCGTGGCAAGGAGTTCGCACCTCCTTGATGTTTACCACTAGGTGAATGTTCGAACTTTCTCCTTTCCTCCTTGGTGTAATTCCTGAAATGTGTATGTCCCTCGTATTCTTCATGGTAGGGGCATGACTGGTCTTGCTCTGCAAATGTCAGCACAACTGGCGACAAACCAGGCGCTGCGCAACCGACTTGCGCAGGCAGTGGGACGTGGAGAGAGGGACCAGGCTGCCAATACGGGCTGTCTTGAAGGTCTCGCCTGTCTGACCCTTGATGTGCGTGAAATTCGCTTTTGTCATGGTCCGGGCATTCCTTCTTCTTGCAAAACTCGATCGTGAATGCTTTCCCTTGTTCCTTAGGTATTGCGTCCGGATCATATGCAACATGTTCGTGTTCTGCTGCTAGTCCGCAGTCTTGATCAAAGCATTCGGCTCTTGTCCACAGATTTGTCAATAATCGGACATAATCTGGTTTCTTGATTTCCAAGACCTCCACATAGCTCTTCATAGCTTCGGGTCCTGGTTCTTCATCATCATTGTCTGCTTCGTACTCTGGTTCATCATCATTGTATGTGAAAAGAGCATTAAGTGACTGATGTGACCTTGGTTTCCGTGGGTACCACCCTGCACCATCCTTGTCGCTTGAATGTACAACGCAGTTGTCGTCGTAACAAGCGGTCCAAGATAACAGGTTATGTGATGTTTCAGGCGTGCTTCTCCTTAGCTGTCCCTGTGATGTTTCCTTAGGGTCGCCTTTCTTGCCCATGGATTTCTTGTCTGCCCAGTTCTTTCTTTGGGGCTTATGACTTTCTTCTTCCGGAATTCCTTCTGTAGCGCCCAACTCTTGATTCTTTTTACACTCTTTGGCGTAGTGGCCAGGCTTTCCGCACATTAGGCATAATCCTTTTTTGCGTCGCTCTGTCCATTGTTCTCCAGAAACTCTCCACTTGCTCTTTCCATCCCAACGTTTCTTAGGTGGTCCTGGTCTTTTCCCTTTCTTGGTTGCGTCCAGGTCCATTGGCATACTTCGTCCTGCAGGGTAATGCCCTGGGGTTCTATGTTTTGGACGTTGTGTGTTGGGATGGTATCGTACTGGAAATGCGATGTGGTTTTTCTTTTGGCCTTTTTCGAGTTGTCTTTCATAATTCCGGTTGTCTATTTTCGTCCTTCGTCGTCTGGTTGTCTTTTCCCTTTCTTGGTTGCGTCCAGGTCTATTGGCATACTTCGTCCTGCAGGATAATGCCCTGGGGTTTTATGTTTTAGACGTTGTGTGTTAGCTTTGTTTTGTACTGGAAATGTGATGTGGTTTTTCTTCTAGCCTTTTTCAAGTTGTCTTTCATAATTCCGGTTGTCTATTTTGATCGCAATATCGAGCCAGGGTAGCTATTCGGTCGGTGGGTCAATCTCGGATAGAGGATCTTTCACTAACTCCTTTAGTCCTTCGTAAAAGATGGCTGCTAGTGCGGCATCCTCCTAGTCAACTCGTGAAGTGATCTAGTGAAACTTGGAAGCGTAGTCTGCAGCGGAGATCCCTTCTGCCTTATGCGCAGTAGGTCTCATTTGGCTTCCTTAACTGTATCCACGTCCCTATATACTTGTTTGATCTTGACTACAAAATTGGCGAAACTGTGAAAGATTTGTTACGTATCTGGTTCTTGATCCTCTAATGCTTCCTTAAGCTTGTCCTTGAGGTAGGGTTCAAATCAGTCATGTGCGGCCCCTTGAAGAAAGGTAGCTATATACAACACTTTCTTTTTATCTGTGTCTACTGCTTGTGCATAGAATAAGAAGTTGATTCTTAGTTGGTTTAAGAATTCTCAAAGTCTCTTCTAGTCTCTATAGAAGAGATCTGGTGGTGCAATCTTGAATTGTGCGTTCCTTCCTTAGCCCTTAATAGTGGCGGTAGGTCCTGAGGCTACTAATATAGTGTATGCCTTAGGTGACGTGTATAATATCTGTTTAACTGTACTTAGTATTCTTAAGAGTGATAGTCAAAGTATTAGGGCTTAACTAGCTAAGACAAGTCTTAACTAGAAGCTAGGTCTAAGTGGTTAGTTGGGTAGAACAGGGGGTACAGTAATAGATACAAGTATGTCTTAAACTTAGGTGTAAGTTGATAACATGAGTTAACTACGAAGACTATGAAACTATCTAGGAAATGAGCGTGCTTATATAGAGTAGGAGATTCGTGCTCAGAGTTGATCATCCTGATCACGTCTGAGCATTGCTCATGAGTGCTCACCCTGATCACCTCTGATCATTGCTAATGAGTGCTCACCCTGATCACCTCTGATCATTACGTTGTCCAGGTCTGACCATGTGTGTAGTTCAGGGTCCAGTCCTGTCCAAGTCTGTCATAGTTTCTTCGCAGAGTGTCAGGCAGCTCCGTAGTGCCTGTCGGTGCTCTTGGCGTGTTCACGTGCTGTAACACTTTATGCAGGCTTAATCTAATATGATTTGACTCTAGAGAGATATATTAATCTTCTAAGAGGGCTAATTGGCTGTATTTTATATGTGTAATCCTTACGTTTCTACTGCTTCAAATTAGTCAATTTACACCGCATTTTCGCTTCTAATTTCCCTGTACGGTACAGCCAATTGTACTTAGATCCACACTCTCTACCACTGTAGCTATCAATCAACTTGCTTCTCTACGCACTCTGCACAGCAGGTTGAAAAGAAGCAATATGAATAGAACCGTCATGGAAGTGGTGTCCATGACAATAAGCTGTAATACATCACAACACCAATCATACTATCTATCTCGATAACTGCTTAGGAAGTGCCAAAAGGCTGTTAGAATCTCAGGGGAGTGCAAGGGCAATAGAACAGCAGGGTATCAGTGGAATGATTTATTAAGCGCAGAGAACTAGAATCTATCTAGAGAGAAGAGAGATCTAAATACTAAGAGGCCTTTGTGCTATAGAAGAACGTAGAACGTTCTCAGCAGCGGCCAAAACTAGGCAGCTATCAAACAGGGCAGCTGCCAAACAAGGAAGCTGCCAAACAAGAGAATGATCCACCAGAGTCCTCCTGGCCCTCATACCGTGCGTAGGGCTCGGCGGTCATAACAAAGGCTTGATCCATAAGTTGCAACCGAATAGTAGTATGTGTGAGCTCAGCTGGGAATTTGTGTATAGATTACTATTGTAGAATCGTTGCCATTGCACTGCCATTTCAGGTTAACCTCACTCGATCGGGTATTGCGACGTTGTGGAATGCAACCTATCCTTCTTCCTCTTATGCTTCCTCCCTCGTCTCATGCGGGAATGCAGTAGAGAGTGCCCGCATAGTCGATTGGCTCCAGTTTCTCAGACTCGGTGGTAGAAGTACTTACTTACTGAGTCAGAACTATCCCGAATTATTGTACGAATGAGTGTCCGGATGGACCAAATGAAAAAGAATTGTGCGTAAGAACTGATGAAACAATGGGATGAGTTCTTGTTTTCACCACATGCTCTTTACTATCTTATCCCATCTATCCAGTCTCGTAGATAGTTATTAGTTGTCCTTAACATTGGTCGACCTATTCCACCGACTTTTTTTCTTCACATTGTTTGACAATTGAGTCTTTTGGTTAGAACAACAAGACGGCAGGGATGGGATGACGGTTTCTGGAAATTAACCCTCAAAATTGGATTTACCGAGACTCTAAAGTACCATGGGCGGCAAATCTTGAACCTTCACCTGTGATTCTTCAACACCTACCACTTGTCATCGGGATCCAACTCATTTCCCCATCGGTACCATATTCCCGCCAAGACAAGGCCTGGCATATAAATTCGTAAGGAAGGCATCACATATCAGACCTGCCAGCCAGTCGCTTTATGCCTTCTCTTCTTCCGCTGTTCTTGCCGCATCTCCCAGAAGTGGAAGCCTGCCCAGAAGAGAAGCGTGACAACAGTGAGAGGCAAACTGAGGATGAGGTATATTTGCAAAGGATTGAGATGGGCGTAAGGATTTGGGCCCTCTGATTTTGAATTGTCTGAAGCGTTCGGTTGGAAAATACTTGTGCTCATGAGTGTCTAAGAAGGGTAAACGTGTGCGGTCAGCTTCAAACATAGTCTTGATTTATACCGAACAACAATGTACGCTAAGGTACGGATTATTGTCGTACTGTACAAAAGAGGGCTTACCACAAGAAAATGGTGACCTACAGAGGTAAATGTTCCAGGTAGGAAGAACAAGGTCACAAGCGTGATGACCTTCATCGAAACGGTTTCGATCTTCGTTTTGCGAGCAATATCATTCATATCTTCGGTCATCGTGAAGATGCTCTTTGTTGAATACTTGTTCGCTTGAGTGTTTTGGTACTCGAGGACGTTCCGTAACTGATAAAGTTTTTAGCCTTTCTGCTTATTTTGAGGGCATGATCCGCCTTACCAAAGTTTTGCGGTCTTCCAGGAGACGCAGCAATGTTTCAAGCCTCAGGATTTGTGAATTCATGTCACTTTCTAATCCTTCCAGGGTGAACTCGAAACCATCAATCGCGCTCTTGCAGCTGTCCACCAAATCTTGCGGGAAACCCTTACGCCTTGGGAGCGATCTATAATATTGTCTCAGTTGAGCAAGAACGCTGATGTTTTGTTTCAGAACCAAAATAGCCTCATTGACTTTCTCTGCAATTTGGTGAACTTTTCGCAACTTGCCAAACGAGAAATCTCGATTTTCATCATCAATTTTGATATCCGTCGATGCTAGCGGAACCTCTAGCTCCTTGTCATCGTCATCGTCGTCGTCGTCGTCGTCATCCGGAGGCAAGGGTTGAGAGACTGCAGTACCTTGGCTCATAAAAGTCTGAGGAGTGGGTAGTTGTTGCTTCTTGACTGCTGTGGGGGAACTCTTTTCCATCGATTGACTCTGTGTCCAGGAGAACATTGAAAACTTGGATCTCTCCGTTCCCCCCGTATTGGTGCGCGGTTTTGGCGAAAACTGCTCCGTATCTGTCGCAGGAATTATGGGCACACGAACAGGCGCCGAGAAGGCCCTCCGAGTCATTTGTTGGAATTTGTCCTCAAGGTAGTTAATATACCATCGCCAATTTTCGGCTGACCAGCCACAAAACATGAGGTGTATCTCTAATGATGCCTCGAAGGCTCGGTCCATTGATTTGAAATCTGACTTATCCAGATGCCCCTGATCACTAGTCGCTGATTCGATTCGTCGTTTCATAAGTCCATCACCTTTTACGACGACCCAACTTGTCTGTACCTGCTTCATGTGGAATGAATGATGGACAGCGCAATGGCGAATAGACCATTCTTCGGAATCCGATGGCTCGACAGACTTCAAATTCCAACAGATTTGATAGTCCCCCACAACCGAACGGGCTGTAGGAGCTTTGTTCGGCAAACGCTCATGCAATCGTGTTTTGTGACGAAATCCACTGAAGTAGAAGTCCTCAGCGTTTTCTTGAAAGCCAAAAGGAAAGAGAAAATCAATAAATTCAGGTACAACCTGAAGGTGTGAGAAGGATAGCATGAGCATTTCCTGGGAGATCTTCAGCCTATCCCTAGAATGGGCCGCATGCAAAAACCTAGAAATAGTTCATCAGTTGTGATAACTTTGAGGCAGAAGCTTGGGTGTTACTTACAAAAATCTACAACGATGGCCATGTCGACTTGGGCAAGGAAAAAGCCCCAAATGCTCTCTCAACCGCTGCACACTGCCAATGCAACTCGGCCAAAAATCTAGCTCATTGTTTAAAATTGAGCGAAGTTGCCCGAGGGGGATTTTGGACGTACCTTCTGCATTATTGCCCAGGTCTAGGAAATCTACTTTTGCCTCGGTTTCTTCAGTGAACAATCGATCGGCATGCTCCTTCAATCGGTGACCGATAGCAGCCAAAGCGTGAATGTCGAGGGCGTGATCCCCCAGCTTTCCAGTGCAAATCTTGGCGTTGCTGTACCAAGCGAGAGATGCTTCCATTTGGACCAAGATTAGGAAGACAGGTCTGTCAATTCAAAGTGTGTCGCGTTACTTATATGGAGCAGACCGGGACAGGAGAGCCAGCTAGTCTTATAGCAAATTGATATTCCTTCAAGTACGGAGTACGCTGAAACTTTGTGTAGCTCTAGACAGAGGCTGTGACTCAAATCCATGTACGAGGCAACGAGCCCCGCCCATCCACAAGGCTGTGTGGGCTGTGTCTATCCTCATGCCAATAACTACCAGTTGATTGAAGAAAACGCCTCTGGTCCACAATGTACGACCGCAGTAGAGTGGCAGACATCAGAGATAAACATCGTTTTCTGTTTACCATTTGCTGCTTCGCTTGCCATGATTTTCACCCAGCCTAGGCCTTCAACGTACTCGCCCCATTTGAGAAGGTTAGGTTCTCGGTTTGCGCAACTTCAACAAAGCATTCTTCTCGTCCTGCACGACGTCAGAACGATAATTGCTCTAAGGATTGAATGAAGCCGACTGGGTTTAGGGCTCTAGGCACCCAAAACCTGAATTCCTCGCCTTTTCGCTTCAGAAAGTTAGCCGATCGTCCGGTTTACTTATCGGAAAGCCACATGCCTTGACATAATATTCATAGCATTCTCCCCATTTTCGGCACAGGAAGCTCTTGATGATTTCCTCATCAAGTCGATAATGATTGATATAGTCGAAACGCCAACTGGCGTCCTCAGAAACCGGCTCAGGCATAATTGAGGCTCAAGTGGGGCGACTGGATTTCCGGCCCGGGCGTGTTGGCAGTTTTTTGCAGGAAGAGTCTGCCTTGCCGTAACCTGTTGGATCTGCACTCCACACTAAAGGGCCCGATGGCCCAGAAAGGAACTTTTACGAAGTACTACTAGACTTGACTGTCACAGCCACCAAGACACCCATTCAGCGAG